GATAGCTAGATTGATCATCAGCACCAAAAATTTCGAAATTGTTCTTAGACCAGCACTAACTAGATTTGCTTTAGTAAGTATGTAGCTGGTTATTAAACTTATATGTGAGTTTAATGTCAGAAACGTCGTATAATTCTTTCATACTAAACTGAAAATCAAACAAACATTCTAATTTGTTTACGAACTTTACGACACGACCGTAATAACATATTGCCCGAAAAAATCCACGAAATATGCGATGAAATTTGACTTAAATTAATTTATAAATTGACAAGCATTATACTGAAGAAATATCAACAAATATCGATTCAAGATTGACTCTTTCTTAATTAATAAAATGCTTAATTAACTCACGGCTATATCGATAGTTGATGTAGATGACATGTCTATAGTAAACACTCCATCGGTGGACTGTGCTGGAACCACTTTGGCACCCCTTTTGGGCATTCTAAAGCACTTCACCACTTTATAAGTACGCACCATTGTCAATTATATCACAGCACACACTTTTTAATTAAAAATAAATCCTCAATCGATTGTACTGTAATGAAATCATTCGTTTACGCAGCACGGAGCGTGCGCGCGCGATGGTTTTGCGCCGGTAAATGAGTAAGGTCATTATTCCATGTCGAACCTCTTGGTAAATACTTGTTATGAGTCAGCTCGGAGACAGGTAAGTTATCCGCAATATAAAAAAAGTGGTTCTCAACCATGAGATTTTGCTAGTTCCATTATCAAATGAACTGCATTCGAACAATGCATGGTTTTTATTGTATTTTTGTTTATCTTATAGGTATGTAATAGTTTTCTACTTTAACACTTACTTAAAATTGTAAATGATTGTTTTTAACTATGACTTCATCTACACGATCAGGATAATGTTGAATAGTTGGCATAAAAAAGTAACCTACTTATATATCTTTCTCCATCGTATATACTACGTGTATACAAAATTTTATTTTACAAAATTTTATTTCTATTGATTTTTTTATACAACTTAGAATGGCAAACAAGCTGACGGCCCACCTGATGGAAAGTGGTAACCGTCGCCTATAGACATGAGTAGTGCCATGGACATAACAGAGTATACTGTTTCGCCCATGATACCCCCCATGCGTTGCCATTCCTGAGGACTCAAATGTTATTCCTCTGGACCCAGTAAATTCACGCCATATCCCACCCTTCAAACCGAAACATAGCCATGCAAATACAACTGCTTCACGGTTGAAACACGAATAGGACAGAGGTACCCAAGCAATCGACTTTTGTACAAAGTCTCCCTTTGGTAAATTGATTGATTGAGCCAAAAAAATGCTAACAAGCAAATGACTCACTCACTTTCACTTATAAATTAAGATTTTTATAACCTCATCATCACGAAGTACCAATATATCAATAAAGATTTATAATTTTTTGGAAGTCATTTAAAAACAAACAAATAAGATCGTCAAGATACACAAGATTTTTACTTTAAATTTTCAAGTCGATGCATTTTGCATCTCAAAACGTAGATACATGCATGATCACGCAATGTAGAAAAACCTGACCGCGCAGAATCACAGCTTATTTGCATTACAAATGAGGTATTATGCATTAGTGAAAGTTCCAACGACGCCGAACTGGCAAGGACCAAGACACAAATAGTCCAATGAATCATGAGTTGCTCAGATTATAAATGTAACGGCCGTTGACAATTGCTTTGCAATCGGTTCATAGTCGGGCTAATTTAGGAAAATGACTCTGGTATCGGTGTACTGGGTTGTGTCCTCGGATGTTCTTTGCCTAGTTACTGGTTAGTATCACACGGTATCACAATTTGAGGATCAGGTAATTGCGCGATTACGTGGTACTTATCAATTAATAGTACCTAATCTGAAATTTTACTGACCTAGGCGTTATCTTGCGGAAGTCCAATTGGTTATTTGATTCAAATTATTTTGCTTAATTCCACTACCATTAGTATATGTCTGACTGCCAACACTAGAAGATTGGCCGCCATGAATACTACCAGAAATTCCACTACCTTTCGTATTAGTTATTAATCTTCGACTGCTATTTTATTTGCTCATGTTATGCAACACATGTTTCATTTCCAAAGTTATGCTACAAAATGGCAGCGAAATATTGATGGCTAACATGGAAGATTATAGAGGAAAGGGGTTGTTAGTAATGGAGACTAAGAATCCCATTGCTAGCAATATACCCAACCAGGTCGACTTCCTCGCGGTTCCCCCTGGAAACTATCATATAATTCCTGATGAATTCATCATGATGGGCTAACTGGCCTGTTTTCATTCTCATCTATCACCCTTCACTGGTGCTCTGCCAACGTATCCCGTTAGTGCAGGCGGGGTTACCATACCATTTTCACCCATAAAAAAAAACGGAAAAGGAAAGGTAAGAAGGTTGTGGAACTTCTGGTAGTAGTGACGGCGGTAAATTTTCGAGTGTTGGCAGTCAGACATTATATTTTACTGAAATAACTATCGGTTTAATTTACGTGTAATTAGATCGCAAAAAGCTTGACTAGTTTCGGAGTCAATTCGTGGACCTTAGTTATGAGCGACTGACGCGAGCAATAGGGCTGCCAAACCCTATTGATAATTGAAAAAAAAAAGGGATTAAAAAGGATATACCCTTTTAAGCGAATTAGTTGAAATATCATGGTCACGCGAACGAAGTCGTAGGTTAAAGCTGGTTTTAAAAATATTATTACTATTGTAATACAGTGGTTCCCTTCACCAAGTCTGTGCGTGCCAAACATTGTTTTGTACTAACTTAATCACAAATTGATATAAAAACAGATTTAAAAATAATTTATTCCCTAAAAGAATAACAACGAACGCGATAAAGTTTGTATGAACATGTAAAATATTTTAACCGCTCAATTAGCTTAGTGGTTTCCTATCTAATAAAATTCTTTCAAAATAATATTTATACTTCCTTGAACTGATAGTATTGAATCATCGAGCGTCAAAATGATTTTCCTTTTTTTTTTTTTTTTTTACAACACAGGGGGCAAACGAGCATGCGGCTCACCTGATGGTAAGTGACTACCGCCGCCCATGGTCACCCACAACACCTACGGCATTGCAGGTTTGCTACATACCATTATCATTTAATTTAAGCATTTTAAATAGTGAGATAAGAATTTCATTATTAAAATGTTTGATAAAGTTTTATTAATAGGTTTTCCTATTAAAAACTATTTTTCATAATATGTTGAATCATTTATAAATTTTTTTTTTACCTATTCATTATATCGATTATATTATTATATCATTCGTTAATTGCCTATTGCTCAACCTAGACCTTACCCAAAAGGTGAGTTTTACTAGTAGTTGCCACGCTAGGCAGGCGGATTGGCAACTGTAGTTAGGCATTTGGTGATGTTTTAAGAGAGATGTTGCTGCCTATCTCTCGATCATTTGTATTAATACTGATATATATTATCATATATTATCTGTGCTTGTTACTACATACCATTATCATTTGAAAACTGTATAGAAAGGTAACGTTTTCAGTCCATTTATGTTATTTTTATCATCGCAGCGCCCTACAGGGAATTCATCCTAACATGCTTCAATCTCTGATTCATATGCGAGGATGTGGACGGTACCGTACAATAAAAATAACACTATGCCGAGGGACTGTGGTTCTTCGACAAACCAAAACTGATTCAAACCGAGGACAAAAATTTACGGAAATTTTAAATAAACCAAGAAGATCGTTACGACAAATGGGAAAAAGTGGAATGAAAAATGAGGAATGAAGAAAACGTGGTAGTAAAGAGTGAGGAAAACTTAGAAGGAAATTAAATTAGCTAAAAAACCTGGAAATTAATATCTGGGAATAAGCTGCACTTCTACGGGAGACTAAAAAAAATCATGCTTCAATCTAAATGGTCACGTACAGTGCGTTCTTAAAGGAGTTTTCTCCCGCGAACACTCGGGCTGTGGAATGAGTTCCCTATCTAGGTTTTTTCTAGAGACTACAGTATGAAGTTCTTCAAAAAGTGTATGTTAAAGTTTCTTCAAGGTTGGCAACGTGCACGTGACACGCCTAGTGCTGCAAACGTCCATAGGCTACAGTGACCGTTTACTATCAGATAGTTTGTGTGGTATAAACAAGCACACAGCCCATCTGATTGTAAACACACCATTTGGTAAAAAAAACGTGACGTCCCATTTTGAGCGGGATCTTCTCTTTTTTCGGTTTCTCGTCCCAGTGTCCCTAAAAACCTGGGGACGCAAAGTTGCCCCGCTTTCCCAAACCCTAATTACAGATTCCGATCCTTAGGACGATGTTGATAACTACGGTGAATATTAGGGAAAACTCGCCATCGTTTCAACCATCATAACATCATCTGACAAATACAAAAATTTGCAATATTAATAAAAAAAATCTTTATTTTTTTTTATTGAGAAACTACGCTGTAATTCTCAAAATTGAGTTTCCTTTATGAATCAGTCCTATTTATTAATCGAGCTAAATAAGTCAATGTATTTTTTTGAGTAACAAAATAAATTGTGACATTACTAATGTGGCATGAGTTTAAAAAAAGAGATGATTCGAAAAAAACTGTTTATTTTTTTTAAACACATCGGAATTTTCTGATTACCAGAGGGAGACTTTGTACAAAAGTCGATTGCTTGGGTACCTCTGTCCCATTCGTGTTTCAACCGTGAAGCAGTTGTGTTTGCATGGCTGTGTTTCGGTTTGAAGGGTGGGATATGGCGTGAATTTACTGGGTACAGAAGAATAACACCTGAATCCTCAGAAATGGCAACACATGGGAGATATCATGGGCGAAACAGAATACTCTGTTATGCCCATGGTACTACTCATGTCTATAGGCGACGGTTACCACTTTCCATCAGGTGGGCCGTCAGCTTGTTTGCCATTCTAAGTAGTATAAAAAAAAAATTCTGAATTAAATTAAATATGTTTATATGAATGCAAACATGAGTATTACAACAAAAATTTATATTAAAATCCAATCAAAACAGCCGAAAACCTTCGATTCTTCGAAATAGCTTGATCTTCATCTGGATAACGGCCAGTATCCAGTCGGCAGTGAGAGCAACATAACGGACATCGTGGTCGGAACGTTGGCCTTCGATCCTGAACGTCATCTGGTAAATGTACATGTATACTTTGTTATTGTGCAACTACTCCAAGTCCTCAGGAATGGCAACGCATGGGGGGTATCATGGGCATAACAGTATACTCTGTTGTGTCCATGGTACTGCTCATGTCTATAGGCGACGGTTACCACTTTCCATCAGGTGGGCCGTCAGCTTGTTTGCCATTCTAAGTTGTATAAAAATAAAAAAGATTATTCGGTGTCGACAATCTAGGTGATGGTAGCTCTAAGTGTAGGTATTAATTGAGGTACTAGGTACTTAATGTATGTAATATGGTATACGTGACATATATGAGGTATTTATTAGGAAAAGTTGTATATTGTAAATAGTATAATGTACAATACCACAAAATGATTCACAAATCACCCTACAGTTGCCGGTCATAACGGAAAATAATTACAAAACTTACAAAATAAATTTTTTTTAATGGATGAGAATAGAATGTAATCCTACTCTGATGGAGTACAAGAGAGAGATATTAGGTTAGGATGAAAGAAGGTCAATTAGCCTATCGTGTCGAGTTACACAAGAAATAGTCACAATGTTTTCCAGGGAAAACCGCATGGAGGTCGACCGTATAGGATATATTGTCAGCAATGAAACTGTTTTTTTTTTGTAATTGATGAAAAACTTCAGAGTTATTTTAGTTTCAAGTTATTTTGATCTAAAATCTGAACTACTGAGCCGATTTTCATGAAATGTTAATGGAACCAAATTGTAAGTATATCCTTTCGGATAAAAAAAGAATTTCCCAAATCGGTTTAAAACTGACGGAATTATAAAGTAACAAACATAAAAAAATTACAACCGAATTGTGAATCTTCTTCTTTTTAAAGTCAGTTAAATAGTTTGTTTTTAGTAAGGGCAATCGTATTTATTAATTTGCATAGTAGGGGGGAAAGGGATTGTTAGTAATAGAGACTGAGAATCCTATTGCTAGCAATATATCCAACCAGGTCGACCTCCTCGCGGTTCCCCCTGGAAACTATCATGGTTAATTCCTGATGAATTCATCATAATGGGCTAACTGGCCTGTTTTCATTTTCATCTGTCACCCTTCACTGGTGCTCCGCCAGCGTATCCCGTTAGCGCAGGCGGGGTTACCATACCGTTTTCACTCATCAAAAAAAAATTGCATAGTAAAATTATTGTATTTGTTGGTATGTTTTACCATAGGCACCCCCTTAAGTTCCACAGGTTCAATGTGCTTCTCTTCCACCCTGAAGAAAACGGATGCTGTGGCTTGGGGGATGGGATAGCTGGCTGTTGGTTGACTGAATACCGCCTGCAAGTGATGAAACTATAAATTGAAGTATGAAGTACTACAATTGTTCTTTCTACAGACAATATATATATATATATAAATTAATGCCACTTTTCGTTGTAATTTTAACTCAAGAACGGGCTCACCTATCCAAACTAAATGTTTAGGCTTTGTTCGGACTATTTAGTAGATGGTTTATGTAAAGTTTGCACAAAATCGGTCGAGCGGTTCTTCATTTATCACATTTTTTTGTAACAAATGAATTCAATAAATGGCGGATCATTTTGTTAATGGGGATTTTTGTGTCAAATTCAAACTTTTTTTTAGATGGGAATTGTGCTGTCAAATTGAAACTTGTATTAAGTATGAATGAGAGAAAATCGCCTGATTGGGTAACTCTGTCCAATTTGTGTGTCTGCTATGAAACAGCTGTGCCTGTAAGTCAATGTCAGTTTGAAGAGTGGCAGTGAAATTACAGAGTTCGGAGGAATCATAGACGTCACAGTTCTGTGATGTTTGTGATACAGTTCATATTTATAGGCGACAATTGCCACTTTCCATCAGATGCACCATTGTATTATTTGTCATTTCAAATTGTAAAAAAAGGCATATATTGTTCCATAAATGACATAATACCAATTTTAGTTATAACCAAATTATTTTTAATCATTGAAATTGTTGCAGAAATGAAAAAAGATGTCCTGTAACATACATACAAAAAATAATAAAATCCAAATTAAGAACATTATCCTTTTGAAGTAGGTAGGTTATATTTTTATGACTAATAATACTTATGGTTTATCTTAGCTTTTTACACCATCAAAGATTAGACATTAGCAAGTTAAAAACACAACGCGATAAAAATCAAAACGATTTTTATAAAGAACCGTGTTGGTTTGGTTTGGTCATTTGGAGAGGATGGATGAAAGAATTTATTGAGCAAGAATGAATGGAGATGTCGGTAGGGGCCGCCCTAGACGGACGTATGTCGACCAAATAGGCGACGTGCTGAAGAAGGGCCAAATTAAAAGTACCCGTAACCGGCGAGCGTGTATGAAAAGATTGATGAATGTGGAAGAAGCGAAAGAGGTTTGTTTGAATCGAAGCATTTGGCGTTCCATTGTTTCTGCCTACCCTAATGGGAGACAGGCGTGACAGATATGTATGTATGTATGTATGTACCGTGTTGGAAATCGTGTATATGTGTATGGGCGTTTGCGAGTGCGTGTGCCTGTATATCTATGCGTGCGTGCGTGCCCACGTGCGCGTGCGTGCGTATCCCTTAGTGTGTACTATTGTAGTTTACTATTGTATCGTAAAAAACATCACGACGGGTCGACTTCATCATCACTGCCATCCTTCATTGATTATCTTATTTAATTTACTACCTTCGTTTTTAATAACCTCGAAATAATAAAAATGGGAGCTCTCATCCTTCGAGTCGTCCACATATTTCAACGTATACATGAGTGTGTCGGTAAGCCGCCATTTCTTCTCTATGGCGTCAGCTAGGAGCTTCTGGGCGGTGACTGCGAGTGGGCTGCGTAGACTATACAGAGGTAGTTTTGCCTGCGACGCTAGGATATCTCGGCTTTCTGAAACAGAATATTGATTTGCAGCAGCTCAAAAATGAAATAATGTTTAGCATTATAATAAGTTTATTTTGTAAAAACTATTTATTAATTAGTAATATTAAATATTATGCAATCAAACTATTCCTCCAATTTTATATGCAGTCATGCAGTGACACTGCGCTACTCCGCACAATTGCGTCAACTCACTTCACTGCACTAGATCTGTCAACTGACTTCTTCAAAATGAGTTGGCGCACAGTGCAGCGCAGGGAAATTATTGAAATGGGCTTTTGACTTGGAGAAATGTGGATAAAATTTGTAAACTGTGTAGATTATGTATAAATACAATAAAATATAAAGTAAAGAAAGAAATTTCTTTCGGTATTCACTGTTGAATTCCTCAAAGTAATATGTAAAATCAGCTACATTTTTTTATCATCTGAACACTTATAGATTTATTAAATTAAAGAAATGTATATAAATTTAATCAATTTGTGTGTTTTTATAAATCACATACGAAATCCCAGGAAAAAGCTAGTATATAATAATAATACTAACGGGCAAGTTGTCTCAGCGTCTGACGTATTCCCAATTTTTCCTTGGCCCTGTTGATGACCGATACAACTGTATCAATTGCTTGATCTTCGTAAGATTTTATTTCGGGCAAATTCATTTTTAATCCAGTAATTAAATATATAATGTTTTGATATTTCTACTTATTTCAGATAAAAAAATGAAAGACACTGTGGCAATAATAAATTGACATATTATCGACCTATATATTGTCAAATAAAATCGGTCTCTGTTATATTTTTATATATATATAATATTTAAAAAAAAAGTACAATATTAATATACTCAAAAAGAAGGATTTTCTCAATTAGATAATTTATTTATTTCGTTAAAGATCTGATAGAAATAATCTTCATCATTTCAGCCATTATTCGTCCACTGCTGGATATAAGTCTCTCCCATAGACCGTCATAAAGAACGGTCCTGAGCCACCTATATCCACTGACTCCCTGCAATGCATTTCAGGTCGTCAGTCCATCTAGTGGGGGGTCGTCCTACACTGTGTTTGCCCGTATGGGGTCGCCACTCAATAACCTTTCTTCCTCATTTGTTATCGGTTCTTCGAGCTGTATATTGGTTAATTTTCATATAATTGTAAACTACTGGCCGGTTGTAATTTAAAAAGATATGGTTTTTAAATTAAGTTGACACGCCTCAGAAACAATATTTTTTTTTTTTTTTTTTTTTTTATTCAAATCTAATACAAATATAATTCTTTTTTTTTTTACAAAATTCCTTAAATACTAATAACAATTAAAAGTTATCTCCCAACGCACCACACCGAGGCAGCGTACCCAAGATACTGGCAGCATTACCTCTTTGGATTGCCAAACTTATCTTTTGGGCAAAGTAGCTACCAGCTCTTGGGTCACCAGTAACCTCGATGAGGCGCGCTGCGATCGTCCGATAAAAATTCTTTGCATCTGGGCCCCACGGGCCCATCGTCTCTACAGCAAATGGCAGAAAACAATAAGACCCCTCCAGATGTGAGTATTTACGCCTCTTTATTGCTTCCGCTGTCACCGCCGCAGCACCCGAACAAGAGGACGATTTAGATAAATGGCTTGGAGCTAACGTGTCTACACATGTCGCATCCCACACCAAGCATTTCCCCATTTTCCAAGGAACCAAAGTTACGCCATCAGGTCGTTTCCCATCCTCACGGAAAATGCCATTTGGTTCCAAAATCGCTGGTATTTGTGTCATCACAAGTGCCCTATGAATAATGTTATTGATCATGGCATGGCGAGGTATTCGACCTGCACTTCTCACACAGGACAGACCATGGTATCCCAGCTCTTCAACTGAGGCTCCACAGCTACAACGATGGGGCTGAACTATTTTTACACCCAACCGCAAACCTATTAATAATGTAAAGGAGCAATCGTCGAGAAGCGTTCCAGTATTAGTTGACGGGAATGCCTGCAACCAATATCCCGATTCCCTTTCAGCTACTGCTTGAAGACGGGCACGAGTTTCAGCGGATTCACAATGGGTTACAAGGTTCTGCTGTGTTTTAATACAGAGTGGTTCATCCCACTGCCTTTGTGAGTGACATATATTAGGCATATCAGATGAAGGACATTGCAACTGCCAAGCATTCACAGCCTCGCCCACTCCCCAAATCTCTACGGAACCCGAACTAGGGTTAATGATTTTTCCGCAAAGAGGGTTTGAAGCATGGACTGACGCCAAAAATGCCGGAAGAGCAACAGATGAAACTTTTCTTACGCCTAATCCTCCATGACGCACTGGTAATGTGGCTTGATTCCAAGCATCATCAACCAACTGACAATTTAGAATTTTGATTAGAGTTTCCTTTAATATCATATCTAGTTTCATCAATTCTGTATTTGCTCTTGTACTAAATTTTATCGTACTTTTATATTGTGTTTATTCTATTCCCTTCCGCTACAAAATTTTAGCTTATATCTCATGCTAAACGCTAAATACATTATGTAGAAAATGTGTCCATGCAAATAATTCGACAAAAACAGGCAAACTTTTTTATTCATGCTTTTTTTAAATATACCTTTAAAGTTCGAAATGTTGACGAAATACGAAATCTAGACACCATATTAACACTTTTTGACAGAATTCACACCTATATGAATTCTGTAGTTTCTCTAATTTGTGATTACACCTGTTTGTTACACTTGCCACTTTTATACTTTATATTGTTTAAAATAAATATGTACAAAGACTTCAAAAATAGTTCTTCCAGTGAATGCGGTACAGAATTTCCCAATTTTTGAATCTTGACGGTCAATTCAGATTGACCGTAACAAGCCATAGTTTCTTCACTTTGATATTACTTTGCCGTGTGGATCCGGCATAGAATGAACCACTATTTTTTTTGTCTCGTGGGTGTCGTAAGAGGCGACTAAGGGAACTTTATAGTCAAGGGATGGTTCACCAAAGGCTAAATATGGCTGCCAATCCGTCTGCCAAGCGTGACAACTACTGACTACTGCTATATGGGGGAGACAATATGTTCAATAGTGAACAGTAAAGGCTGATATGATGATGATAATGATGATATTTTTTTTAATGGGTGATAATGGAATGGTAATCCCACCCGCGCTATCGGTATACACTGGCGAGGCATCAGTGAAGGATGATAGGTGAGAATGAAGCAGGTCAGTTAGCCCATCGTGACGAATTCAATAAGAATTGTTCACAATGGTTTCCAGGGGGAACCAAATGGAGGTTGACCTAATAGGGCATATTGCTAGCAATGGGGTTGTCAAACTCCATTGCTAACAATCCCTTTCCCCCCAAGATGATGAATATTACATGCTTTAGATATACATGAATATAGTTCCCATATTATACCTTTATCGCTTAGTCTATGGAAGAAATTATATTGCAAGTTTAATCTGAAACATCTAAAATTTGTTCTAAAAACCCCGTGAGTACGTTATACTATGTCTATGAAAAACCCAGTAGTTACAACCACGGGTATTGTTCTTAGTCTATGCCTAGAGTGTTGAAAACAGTTTCCGCAACTATCCGCGGGGAAAGGGTTTGTTAGGAATGGAGTTTGACAGCCTCATTGCTAGCAATATGCCCTATTAGGTCGACCTCCACGTCGTTCCTCCTGGAAACTATCGTGAACAATTCTTGTTGAATTCGTCACAATGGGCTAACTAACCTGCTTCATCCTCACCTATCAATCTTCACTGGTGCTCCGCTGGGGTATACCAATAGCGCGGGTGGGGTTACCATTATCATCCATTAAAAAAACAAAAAAACCCCATGAGTATGTTATACTATGTCTATGAAAATCCCAGTAGTTACAATCGGGTCTTATCCTTAATCTATGCCTAGCGTGTTGAACAGTTTCCTCAACTATCCGCTAGAGGCGCAATGACGTTTTAAATCTAAGAACAAGGTTGTTCTTACTTTTACATACAAACTTATCAAGTAACCGTGAATGTGATGTAAATCTATGCACAATTTATACTAGGAACATAGAAGACCAGCGGGTCTACCATGAAATGAAATTCCGATATTTCGGATTTTATTTTGTGTTTTTGTTTATACCAAAATCGGAACAATAAGTTCGTCATACATCCTATCATAAAAGTCAAAAGGTACAATATTTTAACATTTTTAATATTCTCAAACGGCATGTATTATGTAATTTTAACATCAAATTTCTTTTTCGTTTGGCTCCGAAATTTCGGAAAACATTTCATTGTAGGCCCTCAGATGTATTTTCGTAGACCTTCGAAAGAGATCCTAACGTTCTCAGGATCTGGCGCCCGTTGGTCGATCACGTACTTCATCATCATACAAATACCATACATTGTGAATCATCAATAAGAAAGTAAATATGTACATATACGTTGTAAATATTAAGTCCTTCAAGTATGAATCATCAAGTAGACGCTACCTGGCATCTCGTGTTGAATATTAAATTTATTACACAGATACGCTGATAAGTGCTATAGGTGTTTGTTATCAAATACATAAGTAGGTTCTCAAAGCAGATACTTATTTAGATGACAGATCAAAGTAGATACCGTAATTGCACTCAATTTAATACATTTCTTGGGGGGAAAGGGATTGTTAGTAATGGAGACTGAGAATCCCATTGCTAGCAATATACCCAACCAGGTCGACCTCCTCGCGTTTCTCCCTGAAAACTATCATGGTTAATTCCTGATAAATTCATCATGATAGGCTAACTGGCCTGTTTTCATTCTCATCTATCACCCTTCACTGGTGCTCCGAGGGCGTATCCCGTTAGCGCAGGCGGGGCTACCATACCATTTTCACCCATCAAAAAAAATTTTTCTTGTTGCTATTCTTGTCTATAGGCCATGTGGTCGACTTGACCAGACCCAAGACTTACTGTTTACTAACGAAATCCTGTGCGATCTACCAATTACATACTTCTTGAAATCTCAAATGAAACAACATAGTTCAGTATACAATTATGTAGTATTGTAGTATTTTTTATTTTATTAAGAAGGGAAAAAATTAAACTTTCATCCCAACCATGCGTTTTTCAAGGCACTTTCTTCCACGCACAACCACTCTTTGGAATTAACTTCCAGCAGCAGTATTTCCGAACCGATATGACATCATAACCTTCAAGAAGAGAGCGTATGCCTTTTTAAAAGGCCGGCAGAATATTTGCAATGCCTTTGGTGCTGTGATGTAATGATCACCCGATCATGGGTGGCGGCAATCGCTTACTATCGGGTGAGCCGCATGCTTGTTTGCCCTCTGTGTTGTAAAAAAAAAAACTGTAAATTATTTTTAGTAACTGCTTATTAATATTAGTGCGAGCGTTGCGTCTGAGAATTTTCCGCTAGATTAGCAAAATAGTCGTGATATACCGGTTGACCACCTTTGTTATATGCGATTGTTACCACTTACCATCAGATGGGCTACCAGTTTGTTTGTTACCATACTGGTTACCATTTCATTATCATCCATTAATAATCTATGTGTTTATACAAAAGTATATAAATAAATAAAAACTTAGGTAAATAAAATTAATTACTCTACAAGCGACTAAAATAAATACATAGTGCAAGATATATAGACATATACAACTTTACAATAGACAACATTTCTTCTAAGCATGACCCACAATTGACAAGCCAGTGTGTCATGGCTGGCATGGTTCAATCCACACAACGTAATGGCCAGCGCCACGTGTGATTCATACGAGATTTGTATATTTAA